GGTTTTATACCCCAAATGAGAAGAAAAAGAAAAATACAATAGTATTGAAGAGAGGAAGAAGAAGGCAATGGTATTGAAGAGTGGAATAAAATGTTGTAAAATCATTCAAATTTTTTATTTTATCCCTCCTTTTAAAATCCTCATGTTGCATTTCCATGTGTAATAAAAGGTATCATAAGAAAGAAAGAAAAATTATCAGGTCAGCATCATTTGCTATATTGGCTTTTTTAAGCAGAACTTTAATAGTGTGGACTAGCATCAACAAGAAAGAGATATATAGGGAATCAAACTATAAAAAAAGATTCAGGGACCAAAATAAAAAACATGCTAAATTACAAGGACTAAAAGACTATTTAAGTCATAAAAATAATTAGTACAAATTATTAGTTTATGTGTGTTGTTCTAGAACAGCCAAACATTCAAAGTAAAGGCTCAGTTTGATGTAAGTCCAATCCAAACGACTCAACACATAAAAGTCAACCAACATGATATTCAATTTATATTTTTTGATCTCCACTTTTCTTACGCTCATCTAGAATTATAAACTGACCCGAACTTTGAAGTGTTAACCTTGCAGGTCCATCCCGCGCCCCAGCAAGAACAATCTTATTAAATGCTATATATCATACTGAGTATGAGAAGATTACCAACAGAGAAACAACATTTAATTTGTTTGAGTCTTTGAAGATGACTCATGAAGGGAACTCACAAGTTAAAGAGACCAAGGCTTTGGCGCTGATCCAGAAATATGAAACCTTTAAAATGGAAGAATCTGAATCTATAGAAACTATGTTCTCTAGATTCTAGATCCTCACAACTGGATTAAAAGTGTTGGACAAAGGCTATTTAACTGCTGATCATGTGAAAAAGATCATCAGAAGCTTGCCAATCAGATGGAGACCTATGGTCACTGCTCTGAAGCTATCAAAGGATCTGAACAAGATCGCATTGGAAGAACTGATCAGCTCTCTGAGGAGCCATGAGATTGAACTTGAAGAAGACGAGTTTCAAAAGAAAGGTAAGTCAATTGCTTTAAAGTCTAACAAATCTGTTAAAGCGTTGCAGGTGTTAGAAGAAAGTTCTGAAGAGTCTTCTTCTGAAGAAGAAGATGAACTGTCCCTGCTGTCCAGAAGGATCAACAAACTCTGGAAGCATAAACAGAGGAAGTTCAGGAAGTTCAGGCCAGATCAACGTAAAGAGTCCTCTGGACACAAAAGATCTGGAAAGAAGGAGGTTGTTTGCTATGAATGCAAGGAACCTGGGCACTACAAGAATGAATGCCCAAAGCTTCAGAAAGAAAAGCCAAGAAGAAAGCTTGAGCATAAAAAGAAAGTTCTGATGGCTACATGGGATGATTCAGATGCATCTGAATCTTCATCAGAGTCAGAAGAAGAATGTGCCAACATGGCACTGATGGCTGGCGTGGAAGATCAGAATGAAGGAACATCTGGATCTGAATCTGAATCAGAAGAGGTACTTTCTGATCTCTCTAGGGAAGAACTTATTAAGGTTTTATCAGAAGTCTTGAAAAACTATAACCATATTAAGCTCAAATGCAAGAAGCTTAAATGCAATCTTGAATATGACTATAGTTTTCAGAAGTTTCTGGCTAAAAGCATAGATAGAAGCAAGATGGCTTCAATGATCTAGGGAGTTAGCAGAAACAACAGGAAAGGAATTGGATATGAATCTTCCTCTGGAAAGGATTTAAATCCAATACGTGTTGATAAACTTATCATTAAGAAGACTCCCTTATATTCTCATTTTAAGTTTGGTCATCTGAATGATATTAAACACACACGTTCTGATCAGAACGTTCCTACGTTTAAACCAAAAGTTAGTCAGAACAAACCTGTTGTAAAAAGACAGAAGTTCAGACAAACTTTTAAGGCAACTAACCCAAAAGGACCCAAAAAGATCTGGGTACCTAAGGATAATATAATACCTATTGCAGATGTATTTAGCAGCAAAGTCAAGACGCCAATCATACTTGGACTTTGGCTTCTCACGTCACATGACGGGAGAAAGGTTTATGTTCCAAAGCCTGGAGCTTAAATCTGGAGGAGACGTCAGGTTTGGAGGGAATCAGAAGGGCAAGATAATTGGCTCTGGTACTATTGGCAATCGTAACCTTCCCTCTATATCTAGTGTTTTACTTGTAGAAGGATTAAAGCATAATTTATTGTTCATAAGTCAATTAAGTGACAATGGTTATAACATAATCTTTAATCAAAAATCTTGCAAAGCTGTTAGTCAGAAGGATGGCTCAATCCTATTTAATGGAAAGAGGAAGAACAACATTTATAAAATCAATCTTTCAGAACTTAAGGTTCAAAATGTAAAATGTCTTATGTCTGTTAATGATGAGCAATGGGTCTAGCACAGAAGATTAGGGCATATTAATATGAGATGTATATCTCAGATTAATAAACTCAATCTGGTCAGAGGACTTCCTAAGTTGAAGTTCAACTTAGATGCTTTTTGTGAAGCATGTCAAAAAGGAAAATTTTCAAAATCTTCTTTTAAAACTAAGAATGTTGCTTCAACTTCAAGACCATTAGAGTTACTTCACATTGATCTGTTTGGACCAGTGAAAATTGCATCCATCAGAGGTAAGAAGTATGGATTAGTCATTGTTGATGACTACAGCAGATGGACACAGGTGAAATTCCTAAAACACAAGGATGAGTCACATTCTGTGTTCTTTGACTTCTGCAAACAAGTCCAGAATGAAAAAGATTTTAAAATTGTTAAAGTCAGAAGTGATCATGGTGGCGAATTTGAAAACAAATATTTTGAAAAATATTTTAATGAAAATGGCATTGCTCATGATTTCTCCTGCCTTAGAACTCCACAACAGAATGGAGTTGTAGAGAGGAAAAATATAACTTTGCAAGAAATGGCCAGAACCATGATCAACGAGACTAATCTGGCAAAGCATTTTTAGGCAGAAGCAATAAACACAGCTTGTTATATTCAGAACAGAGTGTCTGTAAGACCTCTTCTGGAAAAGACTCCCTATGAATTGTGGAGGAACAGAAAGCCCAACATTTCTTATTTTCATCCTTTTGGATGTATATGTTATATGCTGAACACTAAAGAGAATCTGAACAAGTTTGATTCTAAAGCACAGAAGTGTTTCATGCTTGGCTATTCTGAATGCTCTAAAGGCTACAGAGTATACAATACTGAAACACAGATTGTGGAGGAATCTATACATGTTAGATTTGATGATAAGCTTGGCAATCAAAAGCCAAAGCAGGTTGATAATTCTGCAGATAGAGCAGTAATTCTCACATACTCTGAAGGCTCAAAGGCAGAAAAGGTTCAAGTGAAAGAGCCAGAAGCAACGCCAGATGCAGCTCCTTTGGCTACTCAAATGAACAACTTGAATATTTCTGAAGAACTTAATGTTAGAGGATCATCTTCCAGAATCCAGGCCTCTCACCCAGAGGATGTGATCATTGGAAAGAAGGATGACCCTATAAGAACAAGATCCTACCTCAGATCATTTGAAGCGTCATTATTTGGTTTGGTGTCAGTTATTGAACCAACTTGTATGGATGAAGCTCTGCAAGACAATGACTAGATAATTGCCATGCAAGAAGAGCTCAATCAGTTCACAAGAAAT